GACTTTAAAAAGACATTGGGTTTTGGTCACCATACCTCACAACTGCATGTCAGTATTCTAAGTTAATATGATGTTGGCATGTGACGTTTAGAAGATGTTGGATTTTGGTTAGTGAACATCACACCTTAAAACCAACAAAATATCAACGTCTAATGATGTTAGAATGTAACGTCAATTTGACGTTAAGGTTATGATGTTAAATAGACGTTGGGTTTTGGTCACCGTACCTCACTCCTACATGTCAGTATTCTACGTCAATATAACGTTGGGATGTGATGTTTGGAAGATGTTGGATTTTGGTTACTTTACATCACAACTTAAAACCAACAAAATATCAACGTCTAATGATGTTAGAATGTTACGGCAATGTGATGTTAAGGTTATGACGTTAAATGGATGTTGGGTTTTGGTCACCATACCTTATGACTACATGTCAGTATTCTACGTCAACATGACGTTGGGATGTGATGTTTGGAGAACTTTAGATTTTGGTTACAACACATCACAACTTAAAACCATTGAACCTAAGATTTTGGCATGTGACATTTAGAAGATGTTGGATTTTGGTTAGTGAACATCACACCTTAAAACCAACAAAATATCAACATCGGCTGTCGTCTTTATTCTACGTCAATTTGACGTTGGAATTAGACGTTGTGTGTATGTTGAATTTTGGTCATCCGACGTCACGACCAACGTTCAACCAGATATCAACGTCCTTTGACGTTGGTGGCCAGCTGGTAACCCAGTGCAATTATATTATTAGTATTTTTGTAATTAAACATTAGTACTATTTTTACAAACTGCGTCTAATGCCTCTAACAGTAAACAGTTAATGAACTCACGAAAACTACATAATAAAATTACATTAGTACTAATGTTTAAAATCTAACTTAGTACATTGATTACTCACATTCAGTGTGTATGGCTGGTGCCACTCCGAGCGGCAGATGCTGATAGCTGGTGCCTTTGCGTTTGGCTAGTACCACTCCAGCAATTGAGTACCACTGATGAGCGGCAGGTGCCAGTGGCGTTTGGTTTGTGCCTCTCCTGAGCGGTGTGGTACCACTGGCTATTCGTTGCAGACGCAGATAACGAATCGCTGTGAATTATACAAATGAATGAATAAAAACAATCCTGCATTTCTCGTGTGTTGTAGCGTTTAGATGTAGCAGGAATAACACATCACAAATAATACAGTAATTAGACGGAGTACGTCTCTAACATGAGCTGTTCACTTATATCCACTCACAACAACAAAATCCCGGAAAGAGTCCGTATTTGAGCTAGCATTACTGCTATTGTTGCATAGCATTTAGCTAAAGCAGCTCATTACGCTTAGAATCGTCCACCCAACAGCGCAACCAGTGAACCAACGAAATGACAGACTATGTACAAAGTCTTCGAATCGACATTCCCCTGTCGCTTTTCCCAGGTTCTGATGGCCAATGGTGGTGCTATGATGTACAGTTAGTTAGCCCGAGCCGAGTAGTCCAGAGCCACTGCTTTACTCACAGGAGCTGTTGGTACGTGTCTTTTTTGAGTGAGATAATTTACTTGCCAATTCTTTTCTTGAACATTCTTAGGCCAACTGTAAACATGAGAATGTTCGTGTTCATTCGTGTTTTTTTCCGACGGGGTACTCTGGCCCTTAGTCATTAATGAAGTAGTGGCTAACAGCTTAGTGGCTATCAAAATCCAGCAAAAGTTACCTTTTTTAAAGTTAATTACGCAGAAAAAAGCCTGAACATTTTGCAAATTACCATGTTTCAGATTTTCACACCGTAACTGAACTTTACCACTCTAACCGCTGACTTAACCCAGAGGAGTGAAGCATTATAGGTGGTAAAGCTATGCCGATAAAAAGGACATTTTCCATAAATCAGGAATAACAGACCGTTTCCTTTATTAAATACAGATATCTTACTGTTAATTTACAAGTATTTTTTACAGTGTATGGGTGTGTCACAGTGGTCATTTATTACTAAGAAAAAAACATTAAATGCAATCAAGGCATATCTTACAAACCATGGTTAAATTGCTGAGATATAAACAAAGTCAAATTGTTTTGATCTGAAATGGTGCACTGTAGAGAAACTTACTCTGATTTTCTTTACAGTGACGATAACTGGAACCTGTCAACGCTAATCATTTTCTTTACTATCAAAAATTATTAGTGGACTTGCATATGTCATCTGAGTTTGTGTTGGTAATGTTGATAATGGCAGAATTGTGGTGAATCTGAAAAAAAAAATTTTTTGGGAGAGCTGTTTTGCCCAACAACACCCTGCCATGTGTATCAGGCAACATATTCATAAGTGTTTTGTATAATAACTTTATTTAATGTATGTTTTAGAGGCATAGGCTGCTTCAGGCGTCCTGTTCCTATAGCCACCTCTATGAACAGTTCTGTCAGCAAGTTGTTCTAGAATGGCACATTTCATATCAAAGCACTCTGAATGACTTTGTTTAGAAATGTAATTTGAGGAGTATGTGTATTCTACGGTTACTGGCCAGGTGTTGTTTTGTTTTCGTACAAATAAATGTAGATACTTGTGAACATGTACAGTTATAACATCCTCTCTGGTGCATCTTTAACTCCTTTGTTCTCCCTGCCAGGTTTATGCATTGCATTATTAGGGTACAATTACTATATACCTTTACAAACTACAATATCATTGTATGTAATGGAGAAATATATTTCTGGGTGACAAAAAGCTTTCAAAACATTTGTGGCCCTGTGACATTCAATAAACATCAAAACATAATTAGAAATCCACATGTTTTAGTTGTATAACATCATGTTAGTTATGCATTTAAGACACATTTTAGAGTCCAGTGGCTATTCACCAAACATGCTAATAATGCAGAGTAGTTAAATTGTATTGTTTACATGGGAATTGCATGGAAACTACTGTACATGAAATATAGACCCTCTTCAGGAAAAAGAAAACAATCTGGGGCATAGTCTAGGAGATTTTGCCTGTGCAGATTACAATCTAGAGTTGAGGATGATTTGTAAGAAGAAATTAAATAAATGAAAAAATGAAATGAAAAAATGAAATGAAATGAAAAAAATCCTTTTTTAGAGGAGAGTACAAAATAGTTGTCTGGACACATCAGTTATCTTGCCATGTTGTGGATTCTCTGCAAAATGGACTTTGCCTTCAGCTCTGTGCTCCTCGAACACGATCAGCTAACAAACAAATGGACATAAAAAGGACATTAGAGATCAGCATATTTTTGATACATGTTTCACAAATATGTTCTAGAGTGTGGATTAAAACGAGGGACTCTTGCGATAGTATATGTGAATATGGCAGAGCAAAAAAAAGGGGTAGCTTATACTTTATTTTATACATGGGATAGTAATTATTTTTTGTGTAACTGTCTGTATGTATTGACAACATATTCTTAAGTAAGAAATAATGAGGGATTTATTTTTTTATTTATCTTCGCTTTCACCTGATTATCTCCACTCTTCAACCATGGACCAGGGAGATAGAGGGTATCCTGAGGACCAACAGACCAGTGGCGTCCAAGATTTTGCCCATTCACAATGACAACTCCTTTGCGCCACCCCTAGCAATAAATGTGACAGTTAGCAGAATTTCTGAATGTATGCTCTGTTCCAGTCAAGCTTTGAAAAGAAAATGTTTATGATTTCAAATTTGTCATAACACACTGGAGACATTGTTGCACTTTTGAACTTATAACTCACAACTCACAGGTAGCTTGATAAAGGTATCTCTGGGCTGACCTTCCACTATCAGACTACCTCTGAAGAACGCAGGGTAGAGGGGATTTTGACTTGCAGACTTCCACTTCAGTGACTGCAACCTATTACATACAGTAAACTTCTTGCTATTCAAAAATCTGTTACTGTATTTAAAATGGGGCTGGCAGACACAAGAGTATTATGAAAGCATATCAGTAGCAAAATAGTAAATAAAATAGAGATGTTTGAAAATTCAAATTCAAAAATTAGGATATGAATGAAAGTATGTGTCAGATTTTAGATTTTTAAAGGTAATTTCAAGAGGTGACAATAATTGACATGTTTTAGGAAACGTTTAAAAATAGAGATTTGTTTGTTCTTTGAATAATTTTACTTTGAATAAATTAACATTGAAATGTCAGATTTGCCTTATTTGTTTAATAAAAGCAGTATATATGGAGAGCTAGAATAAACCTCTTTCACGCCATAAAATATAATCAGCCTGACTAACCTGTTTATAAACTTGTGCGTCATGTCCAATGAGTACATGGTGAACTTCTTTAGAGGGGTGTGGTTGAGAGTGATGTCGCCAACAAGGCCTGTGTGGGTACATTTGATCTACCCGTTTAACCACATAATTTTTTGGAATTGAAATGCAGAGGTATTGTACAGCAATGAAATCCTGAAATTGCCATAGCTTCATGGAAAGAGCTGGCATTACATTAAATAGGGTTAGTTCTCAGTACCTTTCCGCTGTTTATCCAGGGCAGGACCATAGTTAACTCTCCCACAGTTCTCCACAAGAAGACTCAGAATTCTCTCCCTCTGTGCACAGTCACGAAATGAATGAAATGAATGGCTTATTCAGGTAAGAAACAGCTGATTAGACTGAACATGTTTGATTTTTTTTCCAACAGCTCTAAATTTACATTTTCATTTGCATGACATTACATTTTTACATTTGAGTCAGAGCTGTAATTAATATTCAAACAATATAATAAACACTTAACAAATAACTATTGATTGTTCTATTCCAACTCATCTAGGTCCTGGTAAGTCGTATCATAGATTTCCATTTAAAAAATCACGCAAAAAAGTCTATTTAATTCACATCACTGTGCAAAACTATGCTCCAGATAATAAGTGAACTGGTTTTATGTTAATTCCCACAACAGGTGTTTTATTCTTTGGATTATCTGTTACTTTATATGTCAATGTGAAATCTTTCATCTCGAATTTGAATGATTTAGTCATTTTTATTTCCGGTACAAGTAAGCAGATAAAAGGTCTAGAGTTGATTTTAAGGCTTTTGCATTTGGAATCTGTTGATATACTTTAATAGTCCAAAGTCCAAAGAGCTGCGAGTGAAGCAAGCCATCATGGGCTGAAGAATTAAGGCATATATGTTTCACAGTCAATAATTAAGAGAAGACTTCACCAGAGCAAATACTAAGGGTTTACTATAAGACGTAAACCACTGGTAAGCCTCAAAAACAGGAAGACCAGATTAGGGTCAGAGGTGGGTAGAGTAGCCTAAATCAATACCAAAGCAAAGTATTAATGCTTGACTAAAACAATGACAAGAGTAAAAGTAAAAGTACCTTGTGATCAATTCCAAAGCAATACAGATGTTGTCAACAACAGAACAGAATGAAATTAAACACAAAAAAGGAATAGGTAACTAATTATGAATACCTATAATGTAACTGAGTAAAAAGTGCATTCCTTCGCTCACTAATATACTTGAGTAGAAGTAAAAGTATTACAATATGAAACTACTCAGCAGAGTACAAATCGATCAATATCTCACTTAAGTACATGTACTTGAGTAAATGTAATTAGTTACTACCCACCTCTGACTAGAGTTTGCCAGATGAGCTAAAGACAGATGAGCTAAAGATCCAAAAGCAACTAGTTTCCTTGTATTTACTGATGCTGTAACTGCTGACAAAAGCAGCAGGACGAATTCAGAAGTGTCTAGGACAGAATCACCCAAATGTTTCAAAACTCGTTGGACAGCACTTCACAGTGCAGATGGCCCATGACCCAAAGCATCCTGCGAAAGCAATCCAAGACTTTTTTAAGACAAAGAAGTGGAATGTTCTGCAATGGCCAAGCCAATCAACTGACCTCAGTCCACTCGAGCATGCATTACACTTTCTGAAGGTAAAACTAAAGGTAAAAACCTACAAGGGTTAGGGTTAGAAGCAGGAACTGAAAACAGAATAAATACTGTGATGAAGGCACATCCTGAAGTTCTGGCTTTGAGTGTGCAATTAATAACCTGAGGATTGATCTATCTCACCAATCTGTCTGCTTGTCTGTGAAACAAAACTATAGATAATTCAAAAGGGCAACTTCCATTATATCTTGTAAATGGAGGCACTCTAAACATCAACTATTCTGCTTACAGTTGAAACAACTTGCAAGAACGCAAATAATAAACACATTTTAGCTCAGTGGAATTTTAATCCTGTTCCACTGGTGTCAAGTCCAAAACAAAGACTGTTAGCTTTCCCCTTGAAAAGTCTGCAGACTCAACGTATACTATCACTGCAGTGGATAATTAGAAAGAGTGAGCAGTGATGTATGGCGTACTGGGCTATGTATATCTGGTATACTGTAACAACAGGTGAAAATCGTTATCTGCATTATCATAGAAGGGAGACTCATACCTGTGGTACTGACAGTCATAAATTTATGGCATATTCAAAATGATACAACCAATATAATAATAATAATAATAATAATAATAACAATATTATTATTAATAATAATAATAATAATAATAATAATAATAATAATTATTATTATTATTATTATTATTATTATTATTATTGTTGTTGTTGTTGCTGTTGTTGTTGTTTTTAAATAAATATAATTAATTAAAATATTATTAATAAAAAGTGCTTTACACAGGAGGTAAAACATTGGTCAGATAAAAACACTAGAGTCTATATGAAATAACAGCACAAAAACAACAGGTGAACAACAACAACAATATACTAGGCCTTTGCTAGCCTAAACAAATGTTTTTAATTTGGATTTAAGAACACCTATCAAGCTTGCATTCCTAATAATCTCCAGAATTTTATTTCAAAGTTTAGGAGCTACATACAAAAAGGATCTTTCATTAGCTCACTGGTCCTAGGATTTTTCAGTAAGCCTGCCTCAGCAGAGAGAAATGCTGTGGATGGGCTATAATGCTTTATTTTTACATTTTTTTATTTTATTTAATTAATTTTGATTTTTACCCAATTTTCTCCCCTTGTTTCCAATTCCACCCACTAGTTAGGACTCCCCCAGTCACACGATACTACCAACGCTAGGAAGGTGAAGGCTAACACAGGCTTCTTCCGAGACCTGTGAAGCCAGCCACCACATCTTTTTATAAATGCTTTAAACAGATGAGTAACATATGCCAGAGCTGTGCCATTAAGAGCTGTAAATGATATAAACAAGACCTTGTAAGTAAATGTGAAACTTAATGGGAAGCTGGTGTAAAGTGAATAAGACCAGAGTAATATGCTTTCTTTTCCTGCTAAACCCACTTCAGTTTATAAAATTAAAAAAGTTATTAAACATTAATGAGTACAAAAGGGGTGCAGTGATCATCCTATTTACAAAGGGGGCCTTAAAATAAAAAAATATGGAGTTAATTTTGTGCCAAACTTATTTTTTCAAAAAAGATTTTGTCTCATTCTGATATAAATTTACTACTCATTTTGCCAGTTTTTGCTTAATTTTTTTCCTGTTTGCTGATATTGCTGATATGTTTTGTGCTTCTGACTTTTGGCACTTTTTCTCAAGGGGCAGGTCTTAGAAAAGGGCATTCACCTGCACTTTCAATTGGTCAACTAATTTGGAGTGATAGGTCTTCTGAACACGTAGCTGCTCAGTATGAACCGCCCCCAGAATGCCGGAATGTATAAAGTGCTGCTATGAGTGCAGCGTTGTACCTGCATATCTTCTTTTTAAATTAATAAACATAACAAGTTAATGGGTCCTGTGTCAACCTATAAAAATTATATAGCTTTTATTATGGGCATCAGTTAACATGAACTTAGTTGTTTATGAATGAACAAAGCTGTACCACCTTTCGAGTTTGCAAACACTGGTGCTAACTTGCCTAACATTGTCCTTCAGGGTTAGGGTTAGGGTTACTAACTAGGTGAGCCATACTGGTAATGGAACTAAACTGCTTAAATATCTAAAGTTAGTTTACTGTATTAATGTGAAGACAGTGATTTAGAGCAGTACATTCTGTAAAGTTGCATGCTGAAATAAGAAATCTGTTTCAGTGACAGGGAGTCTGAAACTGGTAGAAGCAAGAAAAGACTGAGATAATAGCCTTCATAAACCCCATAACATTTACGGTCAACCATGACCGTAATCTCGACATCTCAATTTAATTCCCTTTTGTAGTGATTAAACATTAAATTAGTGACCCTTATTAGTTCCACAATCGGGGAAATTTCACCTCCGCATTTAACCCATCTGTGCAGTGAAACAGCACATACATACTAGTGAATGCACACACACTAAGAGCAGTGAGCACATTTGCCCGGAGTGGTGGGCAGCCCTATCCACAGCACCTGGGGAGCAGTTGGGGGTTAGGTGCCTTGCTCAAGGGCACTTCAGTCATGTACTGTCAGTTTAGGGGTACGAACCAGAAGGCTGGTTCCCTAACCTCCAGCCCATGACTGCCCCAGCAATTACCATCTATCTCATGACAGCAATAACTCAGTAGCTGTCGGTAATCAGTGGTATTTGCAATGCAGATTCAACTATTTCCTTACCCAACACACTTGATTAGCTCATGATTATCATTTAACTGTCATTATATATATATGCAACATACTTTGGACATTCTGATTCTTAGATTTTGCTTGTGGATTTTGTTATTTTATTTGAAACTTTTGGCACGAAATTGAATCCATAATAAAAGTCTGAGAACTTCTGGTCTGATCTAGTAGTTACATATATATGAACTAATTTCTCAGCATCTAGCTGGGTTAGCATGTCTCTTATTTTGGATATGATTGAACTAATACAATGCAGTATTAAAGGAATTACTGATGTGGGACTCAAACGAAATGAACTATCATTCAATGTTACACCAAGATCTTCAACCGTTTGCACTGAAAAAACATTAAAGGTAGGGATAAAATCTGCAATCTCATACATGACTTAATGTAAACATACCGTAAATACACTCATTAAAGTTAATGTTTCTTCTTTGTTTTGATTTTGAAAACTTTGTTCTCAAAAACCTATTCACATTTTTATTTACCTCACTATGGGGCACTACAATTTCCTGCGTCCTGTAATCCAAAACACCAGAGAAGTTTTTGTCAACAAACACCTGTAAATCAAATTTCAAAGTTACACAGAATCTTTCTAAGGAATAATTTCATCTGTTAAATTTTTTCTCTGCACATGTTCTCAGTTTTAAGAAAACATATTAAGTAACTGTAAGGTTACAGAGATGCATACTTACTAGAGCTCGGTCACGAACATGGTTCCTTGAATTAAGGGCCCCACCTCTGTATATGGTGGTCTCATAAAGTGTGTATCCATATGACTGGCCACTATTATGATTGAAAGGCAGGTCCTCCATGTTCACTGGGTCATCTGAACTGAATGGCTGAGAAACAAAGCACTGGGCAAATATCCATTAATGTCTTTCATTTATGTCTTTGAAAATAAGTCATGGCCTGCACCTGAAAAAGAATCCATTGAATGCTGTTTAAAAGTAATTTAATGCGGTTTCAAGATTTCTTACCCTGTCTGCACACTGAAGACTTTCCCACAAGGAAATATGCTCAGAAAGGACCATAGGCTCATACACCTGTTTGCCCTGGACTGCAGGAAGGTGTGGTAACTCTTCGTCTGAAAAGGAGAGAGAAAGAGGTTTATAAGAGAGATTCACCTGTACAGCCAAGAAACAGAATGCCTTCAGATAAGAAACTTCAAGGCGCTAAACAACAACTTACTATGGAAGCATCTCAACAGGTTCCTCAAGAGATGATATTTGTTGGTGTAGTCCCCACTTTCAGATAATGGAGCATCATAATCTAGTAAAGAGGAAAACACTGGTGTGGTATTGCTTCTCTTAAAGCATAACTGTTTAATACCTGTGGGCCTCCAGAGGGAGACAGACATACTCTAAATTTCCCAAGATATCCAGACATCACTTCTAATAAGTGAAATCAGATAGGTGCACCTTATTGCTGACACAGGTGTTAAATTGCACATACACAGCTTGTATAATTCTCAGAGGGGAAAGTTCAGGGCCTTCTAAGCATTCACTACTCAGACCAGACATAGTAAATTGAAAATATGTCAAAATATTAAATGTATCTGATTGGATAAACTGTAACACAGGACTGCTAAAGAAGCTGCACTGGTTCATGTATGTCCCAAAATTTCAAACCAAACAAAAGTTCTTGGTTCAGTCCTATAAAATATTTTGCTAGGTCTGCGGTCTGCCACTTGATGACACCTACTCTAGGCCTTTTGGAAGTCCTAGATGTGTCAATGTCTGTGACTATGATAGCCTAACATGGTTTCAGTCAGTCATTAGAACTGTAAAACAATGGCAGCAACTCTATGCTAAGAAATGCTTCAAATAAAACATGCAGTGTCTTTTACAAGATTCAAACATCCATGCTTAATCTGGATTGCCCAGAAATTTTTACGTGCACCACTATTATCTTAGCAGTAACATACTACTAGAAACTCTATAGAAGCATTTACAGAAGTTATTGTAAGATGTTACCTTCTCTTTTATTCAATTTTGACATATGGATCAATTTGAAGGCCTAGCTCTGGTTTGCCACATAATCTCCACAGAGAATCACTGCCAGTAGAATGAGGCAGCTGCAAATGAGTCTAAGGTCACCATGTCCAGTGCTAAGTATAAAGTGCCAACCTGCGAGAAGGGTATTAGCCCCCCAACACTGGGCTGTGGAGCATTGCAACTTTGCTCTCCAGAGTGACATCTGTGATCCTGTAATAATTATTCAAAACCGGCACCTGACCATACTAATGCTCCCCTGCAGTCAAATCCTCACATCAATGTTCCAACATTTAGTAGTAAGCCTTAAAGATACTAGAGGCTTTAGAGGATGCTTCTCCAGCAGAAGGGGGACAAACTATTACCCTTGATATCAGAAGAAACGTTGGATTAGCAGACGTGTACATATTTTTTGGATGCATGCGGCAGATTTACTACCTTTTTGGGCCATCGCAAACCATATTTTGGCCTTTAAAAAAGTGTCTGTCACAATTTACCAAATAGGTGCAATGGCCTTTATGCGACCATAATACGATCAAAGGGGCAGTTGCTGCTCTTTGGCCTCATTGGATTTAAATTTATGTCAAAGTGCAAAATACTGGGAGAAGATTATAATAATGAACAATCTTTTCCAAATTACCAATTAAGTGATATGAAATATTGACTGTGCTATTTAATGCCTGTGGAAAGCTTACTTTTGTGATATTTTTGGTGCTAACATGACTGCCATTGTTTGTGCTCAAAGGAGTGTTTTGAAGACTGGATTTTTTTTTATAGAAAAACACATTTGTGAACTGTCATGTCATATTATTTTTATTGATATATTAAAAAAACTAAAACCTACAAAAAAAGATGTTTTAAACTGATATTTACTAATATGTTGGGTATATTTTGAAACAATAATCAAAGTGTCTTAAGGGTAAATTTTGACAATTTTTTTTTTTTAAACTACTGTTCAAAGCTCACACTGAAACTATTTAGGTTGTGCAGTCCTTGCATTACTAAAGCTACTAAAGTTATTTTGCTCATGTACAGGGTGGTTTCTGTTGTAGAAATGCGAGAGGTTAAGTTCACTGCTCACCACAAGTTCAAAATATGTAGTTGCCAAACAAACAGCATGCGCATCAACTTTCCAGGTGCATGTGTCAAAGAACTCGAGTTAAGCTCATACTCATATTCTCAAATTTCTCATATATTATGTTAAAAATAAGTATTTTTTCTTAAATTATTACTCTTTGTATTGAAATAATCATTTCTACCTATTATACTTAGTCTTTATTTTGACTTACCAAGTCAATATTTCATGAAAATATAATTAATATTGTTACAACCTAATTAGTCATAATTTGAACCAGAATCAGCAAAGGATAAAAACCAGAGCAGAAACAGGCTTTCATACAAAAAGCATGTAAGCCAAACACATGATTATATTGCACAAGTCATATATTTATTATGAAGCTGCGACTGTGTTTGATTGCATGAAGTCGTTAGCAGATAACCCAACAAACTGGCCACCCCAACCACCACAAAGTGAGACTGTCAGTGATTATTGTCGTTCTTAGTAAATCCACCACATAGTATGATAGACAGATGACCTGTTATGTTGCTGCACTGCAGAGATCTATGTACCAACTGCTGGCCCCCTCTTAGCTATACCTCTGCTCACACCATCAACCACTGAGCTATACCACATCTCAGCAGGGAGAAGACAGTGATTTACTCAGCATATTGTCTTGTAAAGAGTATCTACTGAGAAATGTTCAACCTCTGTACCGTAGCTGTTGATCTGTGGTTTGTAGGAGCCAAGGTCAATGGCACCGTTCATAAAGCCAAAGCTGGTTCCTCCATGGAACATATATAGGTTGACAGAGACTCCACGATCAAGAAGTTCTTTCAACGCTGCAGTCATATCTGAAGCAAAAAGTGGTTGAGAGACATAGAGATAATTCTGAGTGTTTTTTTAAAAGTAAATGATTACATATATATGACTTTTCTATTCTTTATATGTCTCGAATAAAGTCAGTCTAGTTTGAATGTCCCTCTGATGTAATAAACAATGTGATTAGCACATAATTGATGTCATATCAAAATATCAAAATCTGGCAGGCGAAATCAAACACCCTCATGGGACAAATTTATGCAGTCCTGTTTTAGAGAATAATCCAATCAGCCAAGAAATGCTTTGAGCCCAAGTTTTGCTGTAACTGGAGCTAAGGCTAATGTTGTTTACAAACGCTAGGACTCAATAGATACCCACATCTTTACAACACAGCACCTAAATCTTTTCAGCACAGTATGACTTTTGTGCTATAAAAATGAACAAAACAAAACTGTCATTTCAAACACCACCAGGGCTGGTATTCAACAAAGCAAAATCCTCAGCATTTATGATGGTCATTATCATAAATACTGATTCTAGATAAGATTTTCTCTAAAGTGGCTGCCCGCAGTTTTGTTGATTTTTATAGTTCGCAGTAAGTCATACTGTGTCGTAAACCACATCAACCACATCAAGTCTGCACAACCTTAATGAATGCAGGATGAGTGGGTTGAAAGATATTTAAATTTTTTTTTTACAGAAACGATTTGAGCTGTTTGGGTGACTAATGAGTCTGCGTGTTTGTTGGCAAGATTAACCTCACTGCTCCACTTCTAAACTAAGGAAGCTAAATTTGGATGCTAAATATGTCTTGGCCAATGGACTACATCTGGGGTAAGTGGAAAATTGGGTAAATTTTTTTTTTTTTGCCAGACTTTTCCTTTAATATGCATACTTTCCAGTATGTGTACCTTACCTTGTGCCGAGAATACATGATGAGGCTCTCCCCAGACATCAAACCAGCCACACCAATACTCCATCACCAACAATGGCTTTTGGGGCTGTAACACGTATAGTTCAAATCCTTTTAGAAACGTACAGGTACATTAACAGGGTGATAACATCCAACTAAAATTGCGTCTTAAATTTTATTATATCAACATTTTTAATATTAAATTCAGCAAGGATTAATTCCAAAAATGACATTCTTGTTTACTGATTTAAAAAGCTGTATGGTAAAACTAAAATATATTATGAAGTCTTTGGAATTACTGTGTAATTATGCTAATGATTAACTTTTTAATGGCAGTGCTTTGACCTCAGAAAAGCATGCTAAAGGATGCACCTGCATCCTTATTTTGTTACTTACTTGTAAGTCAGCCAGGTACTGTATGGCACCATAGGTCAATTTCTGAAGGTTGACAGTCTGGAGGACTGTAAAAGGAAAACAGGTGAAAAATTTAACTATATGAAGTGTGACTTTACTCGATAGTTTCAAGAGACTGTAAAAAATGTTCAGGGAAAAATAATTTATCTTTCTACGTGGTGATCTCAAATGAGCAACTGTGGTACAGTACAGAAGACGACAAGAAACCACACTATGATAATGGAAAAATATTACAACTTAATTTACTTTTGCTGTCACTGCTTACCTCCATCCACTCCTCCACATTTTAAACCCTCGCGGTTGTCACAAGTCAGCAGAAGTTCTGTGATTCCTCTGGACAGTAGAGCCTAAAAAAGAAATGTGTGTATGTGTGTATTAAATGTGATAGATAAATAATTGAAAATGTATTTGAATTATATAGAGTTAATTCTGTGCCAAAACTTTCAAATAAAACATAAAGTATCAAAATATGTTGCAAATACAAATAATGAGAGTTAAATCAAACTTAATTTTTCCAAAAGATATAAATTTATTACTCATTTTGCCAGTTTCTGCGGCAAGTTTTTTTATTTGCTGATATAATATGCGCTTTGGGAATTGCTCTTTGGCTTCTGAAATGTTTCTTTTGCCTCTGGGTTTTGGCACTTCTTAACAGAGGGTGGGTCTTTTTTAAAAGAAGGCACTCACCTGCACTTTCTATTGGTCAACTGATTTGTAGTGACAGGTCTTCTAAACCTGTAGCCATGTCCGCTCTGTCAGCTGCCTGATGGAGAAAGATTGCGCCGACATATACAAGATTATGAGCAATGTTTGTCATATTTATTCATGCAGCACACACTCAGGGTCCTGTGTTGAGCAGTGTGAAATAAATATTTTGGAAACTTAAGTATATTAGGTGAACTTAGCTGTTGAACAAAGCTGTACCACTTTTCGAGCTTGCAGATGCTAATGCTAACTAGCCTAGCAGTGTCTGCTAATAGACTAACTAAGCCATCTTTGCAGCTGATTAAATCAGTGTTTATTAACCCTGCTTCTGGCGACCTACAGCTCCACACGCTTTCAACTATTTATAGTCTTGTAACATGTAATGCAGCTCATCAACTGATTAACAAGCCCTCCATGAGCTAATCAGGCATGCTGAGTCAGGCTATTGTTGAATTTGGTTGCTGTGGCTCAAGGGAAATTACTGGCATGAACCCAGTGAAGAGTGCAAAATACCACTGATTACTGCCAGCTACGAGCAGCCATGAGATAGTTGATAGATAATGATGTTTAATCAGTACAAAAGGGAATACAGTCAAGGGGTCATGGTTGACCTTATACGTTATGGGTGTTAAGAAGGCTATTATGTCAGTCTTTTCTTGTCTACTCTGTGCCACTGAAACAGACTTAGTATTTCAGCACACCAATTTACAGAATGTACTGCTCCAAATCACTGTTTTCACATTAATACAGTAAACTAACTTTAGATATTTGAGCACTTCAGTTCCATTACTAGTATGGTTCACCTAGTTAGCCCTGGAGGACACTGTTAGGCAAGTTAGCGCCAGCAGTTACAAACTCAAAAGGTTTTACAGCTTTGTTCATTTATAAACAATGAAGACCTGTCACTCCAAATCAGTTGACCCATAGAAAGTGTAGGTGAATGCCTTCTTCTAAGACCCGCCTCCTGTTAAAAAATGCCAAAAGTCAGAAGCACAAGGAAGATTTCAGAAGCAAATAATATATCAGCAATATCAGCAAACAGAAACAAAGCAAAAATTGGCAAAATTAGTGGTAAATTTGTATCAGAATAAGAGAAAATGAGTAGTAATCTTTTTGAAGTTTAATTTAACACTCATTATTTGTATTGGCAACATTGTTTGGACATTTTGATACTCAATATCTTGCTTGGGGATATTAGTATTTTATTTTAAACTTCTGGCACAAAATTAATACCATAGAATGATTTCTAGACCAATAACTTAAATGTCACTCAATGTTTACTCAGACAGAAGCAGTTGCACCCAACTTCTGTATTCTGTACCTCCTTGACAAATGTCAGGTATTGTTCATCTTTTGCATAGGAGCCATACTCATTCTCTACTTGTACTGCAATGATAGGGCCTCCTCTTTTAAACTGCAGAAAGGGGGTGGGACATTGTCAGCAACAGAACATTATTATATAATATATATATATATATATATATATATATATATATAACCCCATTTCCAAAAAAGTTGGGACGGTGTGCAGAATGTAAGTAAAAGTAGAATGCAATGATATGAAAATCATGTAAACCATATTTTTAAAGGAAATACTTCAAATGTTGAAACTGAGAAATTTTATTGTTTTTTGACAAATATATGCCCATTTTGAAGTTGTTGCCAACAACATATTCCAAAAAAGTCGGGACGGGGGCATGTTTACCACTGTGTTTCATCACCTCTTCTTTTAACAAACTCTGTAAGTGTTTGGGAACTGAGGACACCGACTGCTGTAGTTTTGAAAGTAAAATGCTTTCCCATTCTTGTTTGATACAGGATTTCAGCTGCTCAACAGTTCGGGGTATCCTTTGTCGTATTTTTCATTTCATAATGCATCAAATGTTTTCAGTGGGTGGCAGGCCTGGACTGCAGGCAAGGCAGTTTAGCACCCAGGCTCTTTTAATATGGAGCAATGCTGTTGTAATAGCTGCAGAATGTGGTTTGCCACTGTCTTGCTGAAATGCCAGGCCTTTCCTGAAACAGACATCGCTTGGATGGCAGCATATGTTGCTAAACATGTATATATCATTCAGCATTAATGGTGCCTTCACAGATGTGCCAGTCACCCATGCCATGTGCACTAATGCACCCCTATACCATCAGGAATTCTGGCTTTTGAACTGTGCACTGATAACAAGCTGAGTGTCTTAAGCCCAGAGGACACAGTGTCCATAATTCCCAAAAAGAATTAAAAATTTTTGATTTGTCAGACCACAGGACACTTTTCCACTTCCCTTCAGTCCATTTTAAATGAGCTCAGGCCCAGAGAAGGTGGCGCCTCTTCTGAATCCTGTTTATATATAGTTTGTTCTTTGCGTTTTAGAGGTTTAATTGCATTTATGGATGCAGTGATGAACTGTTTTCATAGACACTGGTTTTCAGAAGTGTTCCTGAACCCATGCAGTGATTTCCACTACAGAATCATGTCTGTTTTTAATGCAGTGCTGCCGGAGGGCCCAAAGATCATGGCCAGCAAATACTGGTTTTTGGCCTTGTCTCTGAATCTTTAAATGACATTATGTACCGTAGATGATGAAAAGCAGAAGTTCTTTGCTATTTTATGTTGAGAAACGTTATTCTTGAATTGTTGCATTATTTGCCCACTCAGTCTTTCACAGAGTGGTGAACCCTCCTCATCTTTATTTCTGAAAGAGCCTCTCTGGGATGCTTTTTTTAAACCCAATAATGTTACAGACCTGTTGCCAATTACTCACCAGGTGTTTTTTTTTAGCATTACACAACTTTACCAGCCTTTTGTTGCCCCTGTCCCAACTTTTGGGAACGTGCTGTTGGCATCAAATTCAAAATGGGCATATATTTTTCAAAACACAATAAAATTTCTCAGTTTCAACATTTGGTATGTTGTCTTTGTACTATTTTCAGTGAAAAATAGGCTTTAAATGATTTGCACATCATTGCATTTTCTTCATCATTGCTTCTTTGGAAACGGGCTTAATATATATATATATATATATATACATGGGACAATAAAATTAATATTTTACCTGAAGATGTGCAACTCTTGGTATGAGTTTGTCAAAGTAGGAGTTAACTGCTGTTGTGAATCCTAAGTAAGTCGTTCTCAGTTTCATATTTCTATCCCTCAGCAGCCAACTGTTGTAACAGAAGGACAGTGTGTTTGATTCAAATTAGACTAAACTGAATGTACAAAGCCTTACTTCATATGACATTGTTAGTTGCCATACACTGCAAACATACATACAATGTATGCTGTACTGTTGACCACAATTGCATTCAGATGTTTGACTGCTTTTTTTATCCTGTGTGCAAGCGGAAGTGCAGTTTAGTGTTACAGTATTAGTGTTTTGTTAATTTGGCTGAATGGAAGGTATTTTTTTCTGGTTAAATCCTACTTGCTACTTCATTTCTATGTGGACTGAAATGATTGCATCTGCACTGATTTGGTGGAATGGTACAACAGTGGCATAGTGTGCAAGACCACAATAAATACACAACAAATGCATCTTTTCCTTGATTCCACATTACTACAAAGGTATGGTATAAGGTTGCAAATTTACATTTACATTTACAGCATTTAGCAGACACTCTTATCCAGAGCGACTTACAAAAAGTGTTTTGTTATCTACTCAGTAAATGTACCCTCAGAGGTACGAAACAGTCTTTAAGGTCCAAATTTATACCTTAAATAAGTTTGAAATGTCAATGCAACGTATATAACTGCTATCGAATATGGCACAATTATGTTCCCTAACTGAAGGTATTGAAGACTCATGAGAGATAATTCATTTTAGGAAATAATTTTCCAGTTCAACTTTCAGGACAATTTCTATCTGAAAATGATGCACAACTGCTGACATCTTTAACATAAAAAAATTAAACAATACAACCTCTAACTGCCCTAACTGACAGTCACACACTGACACACATACACACAAACCATTCTTCAACCAATAATCATTTGACCACAAGGTCTAGTAATATACTAGAAGCAAGGGTTAAACACTACCATTATTAAGAAGTTGCAATGTGTTAACATAGCCCTACTCTACCAGATTTTTCAGCATTCATGTATCTGTCCCCACGTTACCCTTTCTCCAAACATCAATATGTATAAATGGACACTCAAACTGGGCTTTAGCAGCTAACAGTTTGCTAAAATATGCAGTCTCAGTGGCTTAACTTTTCTACACTTTTCCAGGACTTTGCGTTTATATATTTATAGCACTTCTCTTATTTTCCAGGTATTTTCCAAAATTGTTGTACATGTATGATCACATATTATCGACACAAAGGTTTCTGGCCTAACAAAACACTTTAACATAGCAGCCTAATGCATCCCAACCTGGGAAGGCCACCTAAGTCCAATTCAGCACATATGTATGGTCCTGGACGAAGAATCACCCACAGGCCTAATTCTGCAGCAAGATGAATGTATGCCCTGCAGAGATGAAGAGTGCAGAGAGTAAGAAAAATACTACTCATATGTACAGAGAATTATGATTTATGTAAGAGTTATTCATACTTTAAAGGACTCTCCCTGTGGCTATTTTAATGTATGTGTAGAAATAATATGTGCTTTTCATTTTTACACAACACTCTAAAATGGCTTCATGTGAATTTATGAAAGACCTCAGTAAACACTTATTGTATCAACTCTGTTTCATCACACATTCTTATTGACATTTTCACGTATGTTGAGAGATGATCCTTACTCCAGATCCAGCTGCTCACTGAAGCAATACGCTCCCTTCTCTGGTTCATGTAGATTCCATGGCACATACCTGACAGACATCAATCAAATTTGTTGTACTAATGCTTTGATGATGGTTTAATGTACAATTATGAGCCTAGCTGAAGTGGGTTCTTACGTAGTGAGGGTGTTTAGGCCACAAGCCTTCAGTTTTAACAGCCTATCTCTCCAGTATGCCCTGGGCACCCGAAAGTAATGGATGGAGCCTCCCAGGATCCGAAATGGTGCCCCATTCAGGGTAAAGTAGATAGAATCTGCTCTCAAACCTTCTCTGTGGGTCATTCTCTTCTCCACTAGCTGCGATTTCCTGAAATCAGACTGACACTAACCTCACAGCGATATATACAAACACTGTAAAACAAAATATGGCATATCATGGTACAGGGTCCCCATTGGCCTAACATCGCACATCTATTCGGAGTACCACATGTTGTTCATGGTTGCCTTCATTCTTTTAGGAAATCCCTACTAGTTACATTACAGCTTGCATCTAGATTATTATTTTATAATTGAGCTCGTGTTTTATTTATGAAGCAGTGCTGAACGTCAATAGCCACCAAAATTTGTTCTGTGAATACACCCCTAAAACTTCTCTCAACCCACTCAAACTGGAGAGATGTCTTCAGTAAGGTCATGTAGACTCGTTGAAGAGCTTTAGGACAACCATTTTAGTGGCTATGGGGAAGTCAAAATTCATAGCAAATTCTGATGACTCCCCCACAGCCACTAAAATGTATTTGCGTTCTCTTCAACAAGAATCTGACTCCCTTTCACATTATGTTACTAAAGTGCTTTAATAATTTAAATGATATTGAGATTTCAGTTGTTTTTATTTAGCAAGATATATTTTCAGTTCAGAAATGTAAGTTTACAGTTATTTCTTAATAGAAACAAAATAAATTACAAATAAAATCAGAGCATTCTTTACTCCTGTATGATGTGCTTACAGGCAAAGGGGACTATTCAACAGTATTCAACACAACACCTTTCGTCTAAAACAGCAGACCTCTGCACTTAGCTATACACTGAAGTTTGAAGACGAGCATATGGTTTGAGTATGTTGAGAGAAGTTTTGAGGATGTATTTACAGAAAGGATTTGGATGACTATTGACTTCTGTTGTTTGTTAGCTACATTGACCTCATGTCAAGTGCTAAACTAAAGAAGCCAAATCTGGACAACAAACACGTCTTGGCTAATCAATTACTTCTTAGGCAAGTGGACAAATTGTGTAAATTAGATTTATCACACTGGCAGGCAAAGCTTCATGCCTGAAGCAAATATAAGCAAAATTTAAATTTAACCAAAATGAACACAACACAGCACAAAAGTGACTTGAAACAAATTATATAGAACCCAGGAGATCACAGTAAGATGAAAACCTTCACATTTAGCTGTTCTGTCAAACCAGAATGACCATGTAATTCTAGCTCAACTGCACACAACTTACAAAGCTTAAAATACATAAAAAGAGACAAGGTCAAATGAACCAAACCTATATCGTCTTACCTGGAAAATATTAATCAATAAGCTGAAGCTTGGAGATGTTAAAAAATAACCAGTTAATTCAGCTGTGAAGCTGTGGCTGCAGTACCAGTGGGACCTAAGTGAAATCAATGAGGCAGGGTCCAGAAGGCACTGATACAAAGAATACAAGGGGGCTATTGTGGGAAGCAAACAGAAATATATTGTTGTGGTTTAAATGCAGAGGCTATTTCAAAGTGAATTTGTGGTGAGGTGTTTGTACAACTACGCAGTAAGTAAAGTCCAGTTAAGTTATTTTTGTGATTAACTAAGTAATTTAAACTCAGGGTAGATAAATATGCCCTTTGCTTGATGCAAAAAACCTCCCTTTGCAGTTTTTTTTTTGCCCAAACCTGCATAAGTTATCATACAGAATAACCCTACCCCCCTAGGAAGCCCCTTGAAACGCTGACACTGAGCGTTTCTTCTGGTAATTGTGCAATGGCCCCTAACACTGCAGCTAGAAACACAAGCAAAAACTATGATAAGCGGCTGCATTGTTTGCTTCATCTTTGTTAAATATAATAAACATAAAGTGCAGTTTAGTGAAGGTTGTGGTTGTAGTTTATTGTCTTCTTTCATTTCACTACGAAACTGCAGCTGCACCATATGCTGATTCTGTTGCCCCACTGTGCATGAGGAGCTAGTGTCCTCGAAATGCACCCAAAACAAAATGAAAACTAATGAGCACATCTCTGTCCATTGTCTCATAAATCTAAGCTTATCAAAACCTGTCAGTTTCAGAAAACTGTTTGCCTACTTGTGCAAATAAAATGGCCTGTATTTACTGTATTTATTTTGTCTGCGCATAATGTGCACAATTAAAAAGAAAACATGCAAAGGATTAAAAGAAAACAAAAGAACAATTTGTTAATCTTGGGAGCGAATTACGAAATCATGGCCACAAACAAAAATAAAACATGAGTACAAACTGCAAAACGTTCCGTCAAATTAATTTTTATTTTTACACGTTCTCCTCTGGGGATCTGTAACAGCTAAACCAAATCCAAATGTTTTCTGAATGACAATGCTCTAAGTAGTTCCCAGGTACTTGTTGGGCTCACCAGGTCTAATTGTTTGTCAATAACAGCGATCTATGCACTTTTAATAATGATACTGAAAACACTACATGAAAAAATCATTGGCCATTTAATCAGAAACACCTAAATATACACAAATATTGGCTATCCTGGTAAACATGACCAAATTGGGCACATCACTGCTCATCCTTTTGATCTTACATTCAATATATTAAGACAAATCTAACCTTTATTTGAAGTACAATGATTCAAAAGAAAAAAAATAAATTTTATCATGAAAATATATAGTTTTCTCAAACCTATGTGTGCCACAGTTGTTGGCACCCCTACATGTAAAGGATGTTAAAGGATGTAGTAGTTAATTAGGGTAATCTTTGGCTTAGCACAGATGAGATTTTACATAAAAGTCCAATATCATGAATAGAGTAATAAAACCTTCAAGAATAAACAAGTAGTATTTAAACACGTTGATGGTCATAATAGGCACCTACAGGGATGATTGAGTTACTGCAGATGAAATATTGAACATAGGTCATACAGTATAGATATATTGATAAAGTTAATGTTTAGCTGCACAACCATACAGGGCATTTGTTGTCGTATTTTGCACCAAATGCGCCACACATTTTCAAGAGCAGACAGGCAGGCCCGTCTAGCACCTGCACTCTCTGATTACACAGCCCTGCAGAAAAACGTGCAGAAAGTTTCTTGAGATTGTCATGCTAAAAAAGACAGCATCCAAAAGGTAGCATAAGTTGCTCCAAAATGTGTATGTATCTTTCAGCATTATTGGTGCATTCACAAATGTGCCAGTTACCTATTAATACACTACCATATCACAACAGACCCTGGCTATTTAACTTTATACTGGTAACAATTTGGATGGCCTTTTACTTCTTTGGCCCAAAGAACATGACGTCCATTATTTCCATAAATAGCTCCTCAGACCACAATTGTAACACTGGAGCAAAGGGCACTTTAGTGGTTTATTATATCATATATACAAATACAAAAGAACAAGCAATAGAATGTGAGTAGGAACAGGCTAGGCTAAGGAGCAAACAAAAGCAAGTAAATACAAGAAATAAATACAGAACCACGTTATAAAGAGGCAGAATTCAGCAGAGCAAATGAAGTACAATGCTGTGTGAAAAAACTGAGAGGAGATTTTAGAGGGCTGTTGATAGGCAGGTAAACAAGATCTAGTTGTTAGTACCCAGGTGAGGCAAAGCGCTGGGTTAGCTCTGCCAAAGGTGTGGAATTGGGAGCAGTAGGAAGAGGCTGGCCGGCAGGCTGGGTGGAATATATTACAACACAACACATTTCCACCTCACCAGTCTATTTCAGATGAGCTTGAGCCGAGAGAAGTCGGAAGTGTTTCTGGATGTTGTTAATATATGGCTTTCATTGTGCATACTACAGTCTTAACTTGCATTTGTGGATGCAGTGATGAACAGTGTTGATTGACAATGGTTTGTCAAAGTATTTCCAAGCCAATGTGGTGATATCCATCACAGAATTATGTGTGTCTCACAGCAGTACTGTCCCAACTTTTGTTGAATTTGTATTCAAAAGTTTGTATCACTGTAACCATTGATCCTCAATTATTCATCTGTACTAAGTCATTTTGAAGGTTGTAGTAGGCACCCAGTGTAAGTGCTCGAGACATTGAGAAGAAATCTGAAACCTTGTTCTTCTAACCAACTCAAGATATTACTTTTTTGTTATTTATGTTCATTTGTATTCGTGTGAAATATCTCACAATACTTTCACAGCAATAAGAATTGAATCATGACATTGGGAGGAACAGGCAACCAACCTTTTTGTATGAGTTTCTTTTGTGATTTGCATTCCATATTTTCCATTGCAGCCATTATTTCTTTGAATAATCTACACGCTCTGCACAAATTCTGTGTTTAAGGTGTTCATGTATCCATTTTTTTCTTCTTGGCTTATCACAGCCCAGTGAGTAATGATTATGTCATTTGTATTCATGGCTACAGCTTACTGTAACCGCCTTACCTATTATTATTCACCCCTTAAATCACCAAGGACGTGTATGTAGGCCCACACTTCAATTCCTTTCTTTTAAGTACATAACTTACCGAATAGTTTCTTAGTAGTTACATAATAATTCATATTTCATAGTATAATTCTTACCAGTTGAATTCTTAAGATTAATAACTGAATATGAAGTTGAGAGTTCCACGGGTTTACACAGTCAGAGAGAACTTTCAGACCATTATGAAGAGTGTCAAAAATATAATCTTTATTCCTTTCCTGAATTATAAAAGTAAAAGCAAATAAAATATAATAACACAAACATGTCAACATAACAAAGGACTTGATTCTTCCAGTGTGCTTTTAACACCTCAAAATTCTACTGAAACACGTCATTCACCATTAGCTGCCCAGGCTGAGAAAGAGCTGAAGTTCATTTTACATTTGTGTGACTTTCAGATGAATGGTGTGAGATTTCATTAATCGATAGATGCTCTTTAATTGTTAAATTATTACATATTTATATATTAGATAGTTGCAACTGATAGGATTGAACTGTTCATTGTTTCAGGGACAAACAACATAAATGTAAAACTCCCACACCCCAGTGTATTTATTAGCCTCTAGATCAGTGGCTAGCAGTCAAGATATGTTTAGTGGCGCAGTTTGTGTTATGTATTTCCGTAATGCATGCTGGATATTGTAGTGAGACAACATTAACGATGAAAACATGAAAACAATACAACATTGGAAATCTGTCAAACTGATGAAGCAGGGGGATGCAATACTGCCCTACAAAATACTACATAACAAATAACATTTTGTAGAACTCACCGCTATTAAAAGAGACAGTGCTTTCACACAAATTGTGGTACTTTATTTTTGTATTTGTAGTATTTTAACAGGATGGCTGGTCAAACACTTGGATTTCCACAGAGCAAGAAGAAATTTCCTCAAAGAGTGACTTTACTATGACAGACCGTCAGTCTACAGACACTTTGCGCTCATAAAGGTGGCCAATGCAGTCGGATATCTAATAAGAACTTATATGCAAATATAAACAGGCGCTACTTCATAATGAGAATATGATCAGTGAAAAATGACAAAATGTTTTGCTTGTGTGCTTTTTGTATAAAAGCCCATTTCTACCAAGTAGAAGAAAAAAACTTTTTAATCCTTCTCTGTTTCAGGTTCAAATTGTGACTTATTAGGTCAAAATCCTGTTTTAGTTTCTCAAGATTCTCACTTAGGTAAGTCAATCTCAAAAAAAAATTAGTCATTACTTGTTGAGGAAGTACATGACTATTTCAATGTGATTATTTTGAGAAAAAATTAGACATTGTTTTGACACAATACTTAAAAAAAAATTAAGAAGATAAGCAATTATTTTTTAATTTCTGTTTTGAAACATTTCATTTTGGCTGGAGGGATAGGCTAAACTTCCACACCAAGTGCATTTGGAAACTGTGTGATACTGTAAGCTTTCCTATTGTATGCTTTTCACAGGCAGTAAATAGTGCACAGTCAGTGTTTACTATTAGCCTTGGTAAATCAGAGTACGTGCTTGATTATAATAATCTCCTCCTAGCATTTTGTGTTTTGAGAGGGAAACTACTGTAAATGCATATACAATGAAGCAAAAGCGCAAACAAGCAGCGATCACTTCTTATGGATGCTAAAAGGCCATTGCATCTATTTAGTAATTTGTGATAAAATTGCAGTATAATAGGGTTCAGAACAGTGCAACACATTAGCAAATCTGTCCTTTTTAGCACAGGTCGGTATCTTCTAGTGAAAGATGCAAGATTTTTGTCCTCCAACCATATGGTCAGACTTCAAAGGGGACATAAGATTAAGGTCACCAAAATTAATATTTTGATTTCATGAAATGGAAAGTCTAGTTAATCCCTTAAAGTCCCAGGCTTATTACATACTAAGGCATATTATTCAGTAACTACAGGGACTTCAATGCAAACTGGTTGAGCTATTCTTAAGTTACAGAAGTGTGTAATAAAACTTTGGGGCCACCAGTAGTCCCTGGCAAGGGGTTAAAATAATACTATGATTAAAAAAATGACATAAATCATTACAAAATGAATTGAGTTTGACAAGTAAAATCTAAAATAAATCATGCTCTGTTTAGTTTGCTTAAATCATAAGGCCTCTGCTGTTAAACTAAGATTCTGATTTGCTTGCAACATAATTTCTATGCAACTTAATAGTAATTGTAATTATACAATTAAAATTGTAAAAAAAACATGCAACACATTTGATTACTCCACTAGTTATTTAAATTAGCAGCACAGATTTTTTTGATGCACTATATAATGTCATCCACTATTCACATAATTTTTACCATGCTATTTTTTTTCCAGCTTTATGCTATTCAGTTTTCTATATCTATGTATCTATCTTTTATATATCTATCTATCTAGGGTTCTCTACTATATATGTGAGTCTGTTGTGTTTATGTCAGCCCTTTGGAAATAATTGTTTAACTAGCCATCATTGTTATATAGCCTACTTGATGTCTCACTTATTCTGTGTCATTAGAACAAGCAGTTCATCTGTTTTCTTTTCTGTAATAATGTTCATCCTTTGGATGCCAAAGGAATCTGAGCTCTGTGTAAAATTAGAGGGCATCAAGAGAGTACAAAATGAATATAACTAAGTAGATCATGATCATAGCAGGCTGATAAAAAAAAGAATGAACAGTGGTACAAGCAGCTGTTTGAACACATATTACTGTAGCTGGATAATTTCAAGAAACCCATTTGTTTGTTGTCATGGATCAAGACAAAATGAAAAACTTCCCAACTTACATAAAGTTAATTCTTCTCAGTTGCCCAATAAACCATCTACTGTTTTATTTTCTTGTCCACTAATGCGGCAAGACCAGCCATTTGAAGTGATTTCGGTCAACATGATCATGTGATGCATTGTCAGAGTTTTGACCCATTAAACTTGCTTCACGAATTTGAGACAAATGCAGCTATTGTAGCTGAGCTTCAAATGAGTTGCAGGACACTTTACATTAATCAACTCAAGTGCAATTTAGTGTCACATAGCTTTCGAGCAACTTTAGTTGCACATAAGACATTTACGCCCGGGCCAGCATTTCTTGCAACATAAATAAGTATTACAGGCCCCTTAACCAGAGATGGCAATCAGGAGATTTTTCAGCTAAAGCAAAAGTTAAAAAAAAAATTTTAAGCTTAAGCTAAAACTGTATAATTTATATATCAAAAAGTCAGTCACCTCCTAGTCTCAGTGTGACTACAACATAAATGCAGACTGAGACTGTCTGGGTTTCTAGACCAGCTAGCCCTCTTAGTTAGCATGTTAGCAAGGGGCTGTGCATGTTCCTCCAAAGTCTGTTAGTCTGCCGTGGATTCCGCTGATGTACCAGGAGCAAGTGCTTGTGCGCACATGCATTCTCCCTATCCTGTTCACGAATGTCAAAAGTCTGAAAGCCCTCATGCTTTTCTGCAGAGATGCCCAGGGCCTTAAAACACATCCCCGTATACACATCATCAATGGGGAAAAAAGGAATATAGTGCGAGATGATGTAGAGAGGTTTAAGAAGAGATCCAGAGAAGAGAAACCCACCACCAGCAGCATAGGATGGGTAAGGACCTTCATAGAATGACTGGGGGACATAATATTTGTTTTTGATGTCTCTTAATGGGCTTGCATCAGAGATTATTTGACCAGTGTACAATTTGGAAGCTCTGTCAGGCTCTAAAGACTGTAGATGACTGAGGATAGCTGGTGTGTTAGCAAAAACATCATCATCACCTTTGAAAATGAAGGACACCTGGGGACATCGATAGAGAGCCCATTTAAAAAAAACATGCTCTTTAAGGGTAAGATTGTAAAACGAGTCTTGAAAGTCCCAAACGAGTAGATCTCCATATTCCTGAGCCTCAAAAGTAATTAGCTTATCCAGATTAGGATCATCCACAGATGTGCTGCCTAACAGAAAGACTGTTCTCACAAGCAACTCCCCCTGGTGTAGTCCCTCTCTTCCCCAGGTGTCTCTGACAACCTGCCGCCTCTCAAAGTGTCTTGGGGTAGATTTAACAGCAAAAAGAAGAAAAACTTGACCTTTGCTATCAACCGAGGCACACTTGTTCGGCTGGTCAATTAGAATATGTGGACTGTGACAATCCATACCTTGAAGGAAGTCCTGGTAGAGCTCAGGGTAAGATCTTAAATCCTGTATGTTCATTTGAAGTGACTCAGTGCTCTCAGGATGGCATTGAGAGCCATTCACTAGTTTGTTTCCTGTAAGATTTACCATAATGGGCCGTTGTCCAAGCAATGAGTACATTTTCCTGTTCCAGAAGGCGCTGCTTTTTGGAATATCTTTTATGAAGCTCTCAGAAACAGTGACTTGCTGAACTGCTGAAGTACTAGAGGGTGGAACACTTTTTGTCTCTGTTGGCTGTTCAGTGCTCTTGTTTTCTTTGATACCAATGGTGGTGGTCGCTGGAACTAGGTTTCTGGTGGTAACTGCGGGTATTTCTGCTACTTCCCTTCGATGAGTAACTTGCAGGTTTAGCATTGAATATAATATTACAAGACAAAAGCTGCTAGTCAGCACCATAACTATCAGAGTCTTTGTACGTCGCATTGTCATCATTTCTGTCCTGTCCTTTATTTAAAACAGGTATCAGCGGTTCACTCAACCTGAGTAAAGGAAAATGAGTTTATATAAAGTAGCTGCTGTGGCAATAGCTCAGCTTTAGTCTTTATTATAAAATAAAAAAACCTCAACCCAACATAATGTTTTAGCAAACTCAGTTCCTTCCGCAGGATTCCTTTAAAGTATGTTGAAGTTGAACAAGTCCAGCTAAAGGATCACCAACCTGTTGGAAAACATACATTCATTATGGTAAAGCAAGATTGTGAGAAAAAATAGTCCAGCAAAAAGATTATACATTAACCCCTTAAAATCCTAGGCTTATTACATACTACTTAACATACTACCTTAATAATACTTATTATTTAGTAACTACATGGACTACAAAGCAAACTGGCTGAATTATTCTGCTGGTGGGTCCTGGCCATTTAAGGGGTGAAGTACTCAATGTCTTGAGCCTTTGAAAGTTTATTTCTTAAACGTTTGTGGTGAAAAACGGAACTATGCTGAGTAGCATAGCAAGCCTGCTGATTTCACAAGAGCTAGTGAGCATGCTCTTGACATACAACACCAGAACTGTGGTCTGTGGTTTATGTTAAGAAAAGACTTCATGCTAAATGCTCATTACTTACATTAATGCCACTTTTAAACATGTTGAAAAAATAAAACCTGGAACAATTATGACACTGCTGTATTTTCCTCTAAGTGACCTCATGTCTCCAGTGATTAATTACTAGTTAGGAAGAGAGGCACATTCCTTGGAGTCCCATTGTGAGTTTAGTGATGGGAATACACACAGGTGGTTACAGAGATAAACACACCACACACACACACACACACACACGCACACATTGACCATAAAAATATTGAACTAAGCTCAAATTACATTAACTAACATTAAAAGATACAAAGCTTTGTTATGACAGCGGCGAAATATAACTTTTATATTTATATAACATACACAGTAGTGTGCAAAAGTCAAGGATCACCCTGCATCCACTTAATTTCCAATCAAAATGGCCAATTATTTAATAGTGTATATTTTTCACAATCCACTTGCATAAGGAGGTGATTTTTTGTGCAACTGTGCAAGACCAGGTAGACCACCAAAATTGTCACCATGAAGCTCCACTCTTGCTTCAAATCTAAAAAAAAAGGGGGGTGGATTCTGTCTACTACAAGAAGACAATAGAATATACCTACTGTACATTTTAAGTGTTGCAGTCTTTCAGTGGTATTGCTGCTGTAAGACCGTTTGAGAGCACCAAATACTAGTTTACTGCAGACAGCAATATTACACCAAGCTCTTTTCCTCGCATGCATCTCCCATATGCAGTAGCCTAACCCATATCTCGCCAGCACAAAAAATGCTCATTGCGGTAAAATGTGGACATGTGATGGCTCAAATCAGCATAAAAGTCAATAAATGTCAGAACATGGAAAAGATTACAATTTAAAGTATTTTACAGTAAATCCTACAGTAGCTCAGTAGACGGTATTCAATATAGCTAATACAGGAAGTGGACGCCAGGTTTTGTACTGGTCTGAGGACCTTGTAGAGTTGTTCTCACTGAAGACTTCCCTCGACGCAAAAACTTATTTAGCGTTCATATATTTCTAGGTACAGACAGTGTCACTTCACTAAAAGCATCCGTAACAACTAAAAATGCTTTATTTAGAGAACAGTAACTAGCTTAATTGGATTTAAAGCTAAAATCAGGAGCAGGTGCAAATGTCAGGTCCTTAATTTAATACGGCAGGGATTTTCAAACCTACATAACAAAAAACGATATGTTCATAAGTAACACTTAAGTTAGGCATTAGGCTGTCTTGGCCCATCCTGATTAGGATTCTACTTGGCTGTCCCAAGCTATGTGAACATATAGCTACGTCTGTTTCCACATAGCGCTTGATATCTGGTCCAGAATATTGTTTCCGTTCTCCGAATAAACAAATAACTGATTTAAAAGCTGAAATTATCTGAGATTTGGTTTAAGATAACTGAATGCAAACAATTAAGCGCTGGCTTGGGTGTGGAGCTTAATGAACTGGAAAAACAAATCGAATGAAAAAACAAATAGAGCAACCTAAACGTAAAAAAACAACTTACCGAGGTGTTGGTAAGATGACTGCGTATCCCTCCGAGTGTTAAGAAAGCCAAGTGCAATGTTCCACGAAAATCAAGAACGCCCTTCCTGCTTTAGAGCAGCCAACTCAGATTTTTTAGGATCATCATATACGAAAGGCATTTGGCAATGTGATATACTCTGATTCTCGGTCTCTCCATCTGTCTTCAGGTTCTGAAAAAGCAAACAGTTGCCGCCTCGTACGGAGGATGGGCGATGTCAAAACTTATATTTGCATTTTGCTTTCTGACTGGCTGTTATGCGGAGGGCGTCCTACGAGAAGAATATGATAAGAAACCATATAGGGTAAAACATACAGAAATACAACGGCACATCTACGGAAAATATTTAGAAAAGCTCAGATTTTTGCTGTGCGAAATTAAAAATGAGTCAACTTGAGAAACAAACTGAGAACTAAAAACCTAAATACACTATATTGCCAAAAGTATTCACTCACCCATCCAAATCATTGAATTCAGGTGTTCCAATCACTTCCATGGCCACAGGTGTATAAAACCAAGCACCTAGGCATGCAGACTGCATCTACAAACATTTGTGAAAGAATGGGTCACTCTCAGGAATTCCAGCGTGGTACCGTGGTAGGATGCCACCTGTGCAACAAGTCCAGTCGTGAAATTTCCTCGCTACTAAATATTCCACAGTCAACTGTCAGTGGTATTATAACAAAGTGGAAGCCATTGGAAACGACAGCAACTCAGCCACGAAGTGGTAGGCCACGTAAAATGACAGAGCGGGGTCAGCAGATGCTGAGGCACATAGTGCGCAGAGATCACCAACTTTCTGCAGATTCAATCGCTACAGACCTCCAAACTTCATGTGGCCTTAGATTAGATTAGATTAGCTCAAGAACAGTGCGTAGAGAGCTTCATGGAATGGGCTTCCATGGCCGAGCAGCTGCATCCAAGCTTTACAACACCAAGCGCAATGCAAAGCGTTGAATGCAGTGGTGTAAAGCACGCTGCCACTGGACCCTTGAACAGTGCAGACGTGTTCTCTGGAGTGATGAATCACGCTTCTTCATCTGGCAATCCGATGGACGAGTCTGGGTTTGGCGGCTGCCAGGAGAACGGTACTTGTCTGACTGCATTGTGTTTTAATTTAATTTTAATACTATTATTATAATGTTGCTTTGAATGCATTGTGTTTATCTAACAGACATTCACTCATATATTTTCCCAGATCTGATATGCATTTTCTGGTGTGGGTGTCCTGAACCCCGAAAAGGGTCAGGGCCCACTGGCAGGCCCAAAGTTTTATTACATACTTCTATGACCTAAGAATAGCTCAGCCAGTTTGCAATGAAATCCCTGTAGTTACTGAATAATAAGCCATAGTATGTAATAAGATGAGGATCTTATACTGCATTGACCTTGTTGATAAGAACATTCTGGTCATTTTCCTTCTCAGTCTGAGTGTTTTCTTCTAGAAGGAATATGTTCACAGCTTGTACATTGTTATTTGACAATACAGGTTTAAATGCTTTCCCACAAGCACAACATGAATTGAAAATTGAAAACCAGTAATCACAGAAATGGGAACAGCACAAGGAAGTGTGAATTGCAAAAGGCTATTGTGTTAGCCTCAGCATAGCTGAGCTCTGTGTCAGATGAATAGCTTCTTTCACCCCACTGCTCAAGTTTTTAAACTGATCTAGAAATAGTTTCAGTGATAGCTGCAGTAGAGTGGTGCAATTTTAACACCAAGTCTATTAAGAGATAATTTGAAGTGCCTGCAGTCTGTGGTATTTACATAGATCGAATTAGCTTCATCAGATCAATGTCCATATGTGCAGGAATGCTCACAGAAATGCCCTTTTAAGATGAGTGAAATCACCTGGAAACTTGAGAAAAGACGAATGCAATTTGGTTATTATACCAATTTAATAATAGCTAGCTAAATCTGCCTTTGTGACTAATAAGGGTCACTTAATCTAATTAATCTAATCTAACATAGATACAGCATGTCAGAATTAAGAACTCAACCAAACAAATCCACCAAAAAAACAACTTTAGATGCTCTCTCTGGCCATCAAAATATGATAATTGTGTAGCATAGTGGATAACTTCACTACATTCAAGTAGGAATGCCACTGATATCAACAGTAGGTGTTCAGAGGACACCTTATCAAACTCTCTTGAATGGGCTTCTTTTCATTGTTGCCTATGAAGCAACGCACACTGTGATTGAAAAGCACTCCTGTAACCTGGGCAATGCATTATGTGTTTTTACATTGCTTGTTTAAGTTGAGAAGTTTTGTACTGAGCACCTACAAGCGAGCACCATGTCATCCATAACTTGCCAATCAATGTCAAGTTTTAGAAAACACCTGGAGAAAACAGAGAAGAAAACTTAGAGCTGTACAATATGCCAAAACAAAATTATGGTTCACAGCTCCTGACCACCAGGGGCCGTTCTAACCAACTAGATAGCTCTCTAGCTGTGCCACCAAGAAAGTATGACAAATAGTCACCTTGTGACACCAGCATGTGATTTAGTCAAGCTTATACTCAAGTCACACGGCAAGCTTCTTCCTTCTCGCTTCTTGGACTGAGTCATTCATCAACACAATCTAGCCCAGTTACTGGACCTTCGGGAGCAAGCCGCCACCCTCTCAGCCATCCATCATCACTTCTCGTGCTGCAGAGCATGCTGCAGAACACTGGCACTGACAGGGCCATGCAGATTATTGAATCATGCTTGGGTTTTTGGTTTCACTGGCAACTGGGAGAAAAGCCAACTCCTCACATTGCAGTTGACTTATTGGTATATGAACAACATCGTTGCCCCAGGAGCAGGCTCAAGCGATTATCGTCTATCCACCACCTTAAGCTGGTTCAGAGGCGACTTATCCAAAACTACAGGTTCAGGGCTTAATCACAGCTGCTGCACAAGTAGCTGCATTGAGGATGCTTCATGTTCGTCCCTACCAGATGTGGCTGAAAAGCCTCGGGTTGGATCCAGAGCATCACAGACGAGTGAGAGTGCGTCTCTCCTCAGAGTGCCAGACAGCCCTCAGACAACCTGTCTGCAATTTATCATATGAACCACTACAGTGGCACCAGGTTATGTACGCCGCCAAACTTTACGTGGCACAACCCACTGCAGGCCATTGGGTCAGGACACTATGGTGCACAAGGGAATTGCTGTATGCCTTCCCTCCACTACCCCTCATTCCAGCACTATTGGACAGTCTTGAGGGAAAGACATTGTGTCCTTCTAGTGGCCCCATGAAGACCATATCAGCCATGGTTTCCTCTGTTGCTGTCTCTGGTGCAGGGTGTTCTGTGGGAACTCTCCATGCACAGAGACCTCTCCCAGCTAAGGAATTGGGGTACCCATGCCGAGCGCACCTCCAGCTGTGGCTGTGGCTGTTGTCCCTGGGGATACCTCTGAGCATACACGTTCACCTGTGGTTTGTAATGCAATTCTGAATGACAGAGCCCCCTCTACTAGACAAAGGTAGATGAAAGGCATTTACTGACTGGTGTTAAAAATAGCCAGATAGACCCTACATGGTTATTACCTACCTCCCAGTAAGTGCTTCCTGCTCCCGTTTAAATTAGTGGCATCTGAACAGCCCCAAATTCTATTGTTTAAATATAAGGTAACTTGGTTTACCTGAACAACAAAAAATGTAAACTTAATTTTCAATTTATTATGACAAATAACTTGAAACATGGTTCAACAATCAAATCAACCAATTTAGTACGTAGGCCTTAACATGAATTTTCAGCTAAAAATAAATTGTAAATGAATATATAATTAACTAAATAAAACTAAACATTCTAACTGGAGTCAAATTAGCTTATGGAAACAGAATACCAGTCTATTTGAAAATGGAGGAAAACGAACAAATGAAATGGGTATAAACATAGAAGTTAGTACTTGGTATAATTAATATATAATTAACATGTGCGCCAGCGTGGCACAACAGACCTCACAAAAATTTTGATGTTTTTGGTCTTGAACAAACTAACTTTTGACAAACTGACCTGTTTAGAGGTGGCATCCTATGACAGAGCCAAAGTCTTTAGCACTGAGCTCTTTAGTATGACCTGTTTGGCTGAAACAGCCAAACACACTAATTAAACTGCCCACATTAATTAGTGTACTTTAAATATTGAGGAAAACATACAAAAGTACCTTCTGTGTAGAAAATTTAAATCTAGACTTTTTATAAAATAAAAAAGAAACATGATACCAAACATTCAAACTACACCAAAACTATTGGTTTGACCACTACCACTGCAGATAAAATGAATTTCCAAAATACATGAATATTACTTTGGTTTTGCAACAAAAGACTATAGGTTTTGGTGGAAAATCTGCTACAATGGAAAATGCTGTAAAGTAATGAGCAAAGTAGAGTGTTTTTTTTGGAATCATTGTTAGTTAACAAAAAATTTACAGACCAAGGATAACGTCTGGTTAACTCTTCTCCTCATCTGACACGTAATGGTCTTTGCTCAGAATTATAAAACGTTTAATGGTTTCAGAATCTATAATGAGATAGCATGGCATTAAAGTCCATGTCAATGGATCAGTAATCACACACTTCATAACCAAATCGACTGAAAAGTTGAACATTTGCTTAGCATTAACATGAAAAAGTTAAGCGGAGGTGGTGGTGGGATTTGATGGCTGTGTTTCAGGTCGACAGGCGTGGTCCACTACCGAAGTGCAAGGAATGCCACCTCTTACCATGAAATTGCAGGGAATTCTAGCTGCCCATGAAACAGGCCTTTACACATTTCATCACAGTAATATTCCATGTCACAAAGTAGAACATGTAACCTGTAAGTTTTAAATGTATTAAACATTGGCATTAGTGTATAACAATTTTACAAAATGTGTGCATTTCATTTATTTAATTACTTCCACTGATTTTTGAAAACTGTTAACAGAACTACTTATAACATTAAGGTCTATGAAATGAACAAACAAAAAAGAAATAGAATATCTCATTGGATCACCTAGAGGTTACATAGACAGGGAAATGACATGACAAGTATGCAGAGAAAAGCTATTTCTATTAGAATTTATAATGGTATATCTGGTAAAAATGCCATTTATTGCTCAGAATTTAACACTA